AATATAATTAAAAAATAATTTCTAAGACGGTAATTGGGTAGGTAACAGTAAATAGTATAAAGAGTGTAAAGAAAAATGAGCAGCAGGTTCCCCATTTTCATCCCACTTTCTCTAAGTTTAAACGAGAATCAGTATTTCCGATATACAAGATTTATTAAATTATTACAGCTATTATTATATGAGAATACACAATTTTTACATGTACAGTATAATATATTATGTATCTCGCTCTATTTACTCTCTTTCTTCGTTTCTTTGTTACTTGTTTATACACACCTGCGATTAAACATCGTTCCTACCTCTCGCGTTTCTTACTCTCGCGACACTTCGCTCTGCATACAAAACGAATGATCACCCGGGATTGGATTTATCGAGCCCTGCGCCTACGCTCGCCTCCGTTGAATAAGTTAAAACGCAATTTACACGTATCAACGGCATCTAGAATTACGCGTTGTCTTCTATTCGTAAAAGGACTGCGCTCACCCCCACTTCCCCCCTCTTCCCCAAGTCGGACACGAAATCGAATACTGCTACTACAACATACACGTAATAGTTGTTGGACGTGGACGATATTCTTTTACTTTAAATCCGCTCTAACTTAACTATTATGCCCTGCGTGTTTTTTCTAATCGTTAACCCAGCAATTATTTCATTGCGCTCGTCGATATCGCTTACAAGGTTCGATGATGTACAATCATAGACATCGGAGAATAGATCGAGCGTCCGATTTATTTCTGGCAACTCAGATAGGAGGAGTTCCTCTCTCTCTCTCTCTCTCTCTCTCTCTTTCACATAGTGATAGGAAAACAAGAGACTGTACGATTAATTTTGTTTCTCTGAATCGCCCGGTCTATTCCCACGTGGTTACAATACGTTCGGCTCGAAAAGGAGAAAGAAAAGAGCGACGAATGACGAATTGCTCGATACAAAACGCGGTATAAGGCTTCGTTTGATGGATATTCGTTTTCACTTTTAATATTAATGGCGCCACGCTTGTTAAACAGCACCCGTTATTGACTTTGAAACAACCCGAGTTGCGATTATTTTTGTGCAGTAATCTCTTCTTCGTCTCCGTCTTTTATATCCGAACGATCCCACGTTGTCGATCGTCCGATTTTTAATATGATACAAAAAATATTGACGCGCATCCGCGCATGCGAATATAAAATATACTCTCGCGCGTATTGTACAAGCCCGCGTTCCTTTTCCCCTTTCTCTCTCTCTCTCTCTCTTTCTCTACGTGTTACACGCGTGCCCAAGTTTGGATCCAAGGTATATCAACTACGTCTCGGCCGAGAAATCATAACGAAGATCAATGAAACGGAAAGATTGTCATCCAAACTTGCTGGCACACTGTTCTTACCTACAGAATTTGAAACATTAACTCGACATTTACACATACTTATGCGGCTGGTCGGAACAATCGAATAAATTATGTCCGCGTTGTTCCTCCGCTCTCTCGGAGCCACGCTCGCCGAAGAATACACTGAAATGAGAGATGCTGGCTTTGGTATATAATCGATAATCTCTCCTAAATACACTCCGCAAATGCTAGATCGATAAAAAATACTATTTTTTTTTTTTCTTTCCTTGTCGTTTGCGTATATATACATGTGCACGTTTGAAAAGGCCAGCAGCACGGTCAACGTTGCCCTGGCTGAATATTATTCCGGTTCAAAATCGAAGAGAACTCTCAATCTGAATCAATTGACTTTTTCCTAACGAAAAATCCTCCCCTCTTAATCCTCGTCCGTGGATGATGATAATAATTGAAACGTTCGTTCTCTTCAGCTTTGAGCCACGAGTCTCCACTTGAGACGCAAAACTTTATACTAAACTTACACTCGTCGACGCGGAAAAATTATCCGCACGCGTTAATACTTACGCGATTTATACTAAATACGACATACAAGGGTGTCGAGTCGCAGACTCGAGAGAGAATCGATGACTAATAATTCGTAGACTTTGTCTGCGACTCGATTATTTCGTAATTGCCTGTTTCTAAGGATTAATCACGAACACCTGGAATGATCCCTTCCTCTTTCTCTTTGTCTCTCTCTCTCGGTCACGCACGCTTGAAATTGTCTGCCTTGCCGCGGGAATTGTGTTAAATAGCTTATAGTACAGCCGATACCGAAACAGTCTTTGTAACGATGCGAGTAACGAGCTGAATCCGCGCGATCTTGTTTTTCGAAACAAACGAAACGATTCCCTGCAGTTTCTTAATCGGAGCAGTCGGGATGGCACTAGGATATTTATAATAAAAAACGCGATACATAAAAAAGTAATAGAAAAGTTGATCAAATGCTTAGCAAAAAACTGAATCGTTCCCTCGTCGTCGACGTACAAATGTGTAAAAGCTAAACTGTTCTTTTGTTCGTTAGTTTGCTTAACCGTTTAACGTTATTAATTATAATATATACGGTGCAGAGTCTGTGTCCGTGTATATTTATATTTATATATATATATATATGTATTTATGTATGTATATTATATAACGTTTAAATAGGATTCGTTGAATTTACTGCGATGTCCAAGAAAATATTCGATTTCATTGGCAAATTAACTTCGTTAATCAATCAATGCAATTTTTAGCTTTAATCATCTTTTTACATCTAATTAGCTGGCGCACAATTGTTTCATACTCACACTCGCACAACGTTGTAGCGTTACATGACTTTGAACGATGCGTCGAAAAAGAGAACTCGGTTCGCGTGAGATCTGTTACACGGCTTTCTCAGTCTGAGCTTTTCGCAGTTAAAACTGTAGCGGAGCGGAGAGAAAATCGAGGGAGCTACAGTTTTCATTGGAAAAGATATTTTTTTTTTTAGTACGATAAAAGGCTGTACCTGCGATAAATACGTGTCGTCGGTAGACTGCAGATTTTATGCATCTGATGAATGCGTAGGGAACGGAAGGAAGGCTGTTCTAGCTATCGAAGCGTGTAGGTTCGCTTGTCTCTTTAATCGTGTTTGAAAGGTGAGAAAATTCTAGCAGATGTTTCATGAAAAATACAAGAGTCGTTTGAGTCTCGCCTAGAGTGGATCAGCATGGGGACGAAATAAATAATGTGCGGCATTTGGTGCGAAGTCAACTCTTATCTCCGTTGGATTTAAAATGCGATCGTTGAGATGTATTCTGCATACTGGCCATGGGTTTAACATTACGAAAACGTGTGTTTATGGTCTCGTAGTCGGAGACTCGTTCAGAGAAAACGTTTGATAGATCTATTAATAAATACGCGATTGGCTAAACTTTCATCACGTAACCTCCATCGACGACTCAGTCTTAGGTGCTTCATCGTATCTCATCATAAAGTGAAATGTGTCAAAGCGTAAATCTATACAATATCTAATCCTCTTGTACCCGAACTACGTCTCGCTCCTCTCAGACGATCAGGGTGCGTTCTATTCACTGTGCGATGATGATTAGTACCATTCTGGAGGTGTTCCATTGTCAAACTTGGGAACGGGCGATAACAAATGAAGATTCCCATTTATCTATCCCGACCAGTTCTCTGGTTCTGACGATCGATTTCTTCCTCGGTCAATTTCAGTCAGATCATTACAGAATTAACTGGCTGGTTTTGGTCGGGGTCGCTGCGTTTTGGAACATCGGACACTTGGATGTGTCGAATAGGTCGATGGAGTTCGAACCATTTGGTCAGGCATCCGTCTCGCCTTTCAGCCTCAGACGAGCGAAGTCCTCGAAAATTATATCGTCGTCCCCGTCCACCTCCCTAAAATTAAAATCATTCTTAATATCATAAAAGACTTTTTCATTTTCGGAATTTTATTATTATTAAATCGTTGCTCAGTTTCTTTATTTTTAATTCATACTTGAAAGATTATTTGAATGAAATTATTTAGTTATCTAGAAGCCTGCAAAATTGGCTAATAAATTATTGTAGTAAAAACAGGAAAACGTTTCATATACATTAGCCTAAGTTGTTCTACTATTTAAATTTAGTCTAGTCTATTTAAGTTTGCAAGCAAAAGCGTTGGAACTTCCATTTATAGAGCCCATTGCTTGCTTTATTTTCAAACAATGAATAAATAAGTGTCGAGTATGGCTATTCTCAAGTGTTTAAAATAACTGACTATTCCGTCGATTCGGAAAGTTTGCGAATTAATTTAAGGATGTATTGGCTATACAGTCAATCCCAAAAGTTTATGTACTTTAGAAAAACGCATTTCCTATAATTAAAAAGAAGTCAGACGTCGGAAGAATAATGCTAATAATAAATAGCTACGTGCTAAAAAGTATAGAAGAAAAT